TGTGTGTGTGTGTTTGTGTGTGTTTGTGTGTGTTTGTGTGTGTTTGTGTGTGTTTGTGTGTGTTTGTGTGTGTTTGTGTGTGTTTGTGTGTGTTTGTGTGTGTTTGTGTGTGTTTGTGTGTGTTTGTATGTGTGTGTGTGTGCGTGTGTGCGTGTGTGTGTGTGTTTGTATGTGTGTGTGTGTGTGCGTGCGTGTCTGTGTGTGTGTGTGTGTCTGTGTGTGTCTGTGTGTGTGTGTGTGTCTGTGTGTGTGTTATGCATTCGCCTTTGATCGCGAATATGAAGGATCACCCGCTTTGGCTAACTTGGCATCTGACATGCATGCCTCTCCCTTGCGCGCTTACAGAGAGTGGTTTGGCAACCACTCTCTGTAAGCGCGCGAGGGAGAGGCATGCATGTCTCAAACTGGATAGTGTATCGTAGAGGAAAGAAGAGAGCGAAAATATCGCATGCAATCCCGTATTAGATACACGCAGAGGGCTATACCGCTAGATCCCCCGTGCAGCTGAAGTAATGCTGCGTAGGAGCTGTGGAATGGTAGCTAAAGAGCATGAGATAAAAGACCGTGTTTGTCATAATGCGGCAATCTGGTTCTATCAGGTAGCTTTCGGAGAGCGATGGCGGAGTGGCGTTCGTTCGGCCGATGGTGCAGAACACGCGGTGGGGTATGTGTGTATGTGTGTAGGGCGGCTGCGTCTGTCAAAGCGAAGAGGTGTCGGTCAGCGCGATCCATTCTTATTGTACGTAAAAGTTTTGCAAACATGGCCTTCTTGTAAAAGTGTGATATTAAGTAGTGGAAATGGATAATTACGCTCTTTGTGAACACGTTTCCTTCTTTCCCTCCCCTTCAGAAAGCAAGGGATGGAAAAGTGGACGTTGGAATTCTAGGAAATCTGACATCTAGTGCTGTCGGGCCGTAATGAAGTCACAATTGCGTGTCGAATTACGTGTAGATAAGAGTTGGATTCGAGCACCTGCGCCCAAGGGTACCGGTGTGCGTGTGGGGGTGGGCGATGGAGCAAGAGTGCATCTCCGAAGGAGGTGCATCAACCTGCGCCCTAAGAATAATTAAAAAAATTCACAGCAAAACAATTTCCTAAGGAAAGGCTCACAGGGTACCAGGAGCAAGTCGTTTTTCGTTCGTATGTTGCAGTGCGTCATGTTTTACGGTACAGATTACACGAGATGTATAAGCTTTTCACAAAGAAGTGTTTTTAAATATCATTTCCTGACTACAGTCGAGGGCGCTGGGACCCTGTACCGTACTAGGGAAGGAACTGTTGACTTCGCTCTCCTATTCTTTCGCCCTTCTAATCAAATGTATGATATATACAGTAGCGATACTACAAACCAACTCCCACTCCTTACGGTGTGCTCACCTATCATGTGCCCAGTGGAAACGAACTTTTGTAGAAAAACAACCACGCAGCTCCACGTAACTGCCTTGATAATATTAGCTGAAATATAATTTCTAGGCAAAATAGTAATTTCAGTAACAAACCGCGCGGCAATGGAGCAGCTCTCTCACTGTGTTTCCGCACCGTATGACTAGCACAGCTTTCTCGGCTTGGAAGGGAGGAACAATAGTCTGTCGTTTATGGGATTTAATATGAGTACCATGGCTGGAGACAGGCTAAGCCAGCATCTGAGTTCCGTGTTGCTCTTCGTTCTCGGGGTAGTCACAGCTAGCCAGGTTTCCGCCGTCTCGCCGCTAACTGGCTTCATGCTATCCAAATCAATTGTGCATCACGGTGATCTGTCGATGTACACGAGAGTTTTTGACAAGCTAAGCAATCAGCGCTGCCTGAACATCACTGTAATCGGTGAGGGTTCGCAGGGATTGCGACTTCGGAAGCAGGATGCAATCTTGCAAGGATGCAAATATCATAACTAAAGCCCTTGTCCTGATCAGCTTTGGCGTGCTTTTTGTCACTGAGTAATTCTTTAGCTGCACATGTAGTACTGTACTTGGAACTCGGAAATTCCAAGAGCCTTAGTGCAGACCTATCTTGCATATTCAGGGCCGGGTTTAAAAGAAACTTGTCAAAAGCAGAAAGCAATTGCGGGCATACGGCAACTGACGTCTCAAGTGCTTCACTATTTCCAACCTTTGTTGACGCGCTGTGCTCTGCAGGAGGCAGCGTGACTGTGGGGCACTGGAACTACACCTTGATTCCCAGCCATCACCGTTGGCCCGAACTCGTCGGAGGGCAGCTCAACGCCCGTTTTCCCTGCAGCGACCCGCAGGGTCACACGGTCAGCAACCAAGCGCACGGGGCCACCTCGCCGGGAATATGGATTGAAAGACTGGTGGGGCAGCAAGAGGTTTGGTTTCGGGGCGTCGACCTGGTGATCCTGGAGACGGCGGTCAACCAGGTAGCGGAGACAGCACAAGCGCAGATGGAGGCGGAGATATTGATGTCACTGGTCATCAAGCAGTCTCGGAGGGCCCTTCAAGAGGCCGGGGAGGGTAAGCAGCAGCAATCCACCCGAGCTTTCACCGGCACGGCGGTGATGTGGCTCGTAGCTTCCACCCGGCGCCAGTCGCCTGTTTGGTGAGTGGCTGTCTCTTACATAAAGGGGCGAACCATTACTGGAACAAAGTTATTTAATATTTGGAGTATTTATATTTGGAGGAAGCTACGGCAGGAGCATTAGAGTTTGCAGAGATGGGTTGTTGTTCAGTTAGGCGGGTAGTTGAGAGTAGGTAAGACTTAGGGGAGGTACTTGATGGTCGGTTGCTGGTCATCACATCCCAAGGCCATTACTCTCCCGCCCCGCAATCGGATGGGTTTCCCCCCCACACGGGGGGATGAGCAGTTGCTCGAAAAGCTTTTTAGAGTTTAGCGGTTGTTGTGCTAATAAAATAAAGCAACATAACATCTCACCGTTACCTGCCGATGCAAACCCTAAGTAACAGCCGTACAGTACGGCATACACACTCGGCCAGCATTTTGAGTGAGAGGCTTTTTCAGCGCCCAGCTACCAAGCCGGTCATTATACATGGCCAATAGTAGCTGGCAATAATCATTCGACAGTGTTAGGCGTCGTTAGGGCGCCAAGCATTGCTCGCGAGGGGTCCTAGCCGCATACAAGGCATGGAATTTTCCGCCGGGGGGGGGGTATACGCTCTGTTGAGTTGGATTGCGGTGAGGTTTATGGTGTGGGTGACTAAGTATCGGACGCCTGGTCAAGCCAAATGAAGGTTCTTAGACCAGCCAGGGAGGGGAGGTTTAGACAGGCCATGCAAAGACTTGCAAGTCTACACAAACCCAAGATTTAAGGCCTGCTGAAGGGAAGACGAAAGAAATAAAGTATCTATAATAACGCAGAGATAGGATGTGTTGACCAACATGAACCTGTTGGTTCAGGAAAGTAAAGACTTCGTCCTGCACACGCAGCTCTATCGGGCTATAGCTGTTTGGCCAATACTGAGCACACCGTTACCCTTGTAAGGGAGCCCAGGCAAGCTCAGCAGAAGCATGAATCAATGAAACCCACAAAAAGTTAAGACATGGAGCAACGCCCCCGTAAAATACTTATAGCGGATTTTGCCGGATTCCAAAGTAGGTTATTCTGTAAAAGAATGTAAGTTATCTTTTACCTGGGCTCTGCCAAACGGCTCTGCTTATCCATCCCCACGATTTAACACAAGCTGTATGTGGTGTACTCTGCGCGTGAATCATCAAGCACTAGCAGCTACTCAAGGCTAGTCGAGGCTTACCGGGGAGTGGATTAAGTGGGTCATGATGACAAGAGCAGCAAAGCTCAGGTATCTAGATATGGTCGCTCCCCCCCGGCCACCGGCCACCTAGGCACACGGTGCCCGCCACCCAACTTTGTACCCGGCTCGTTGCCCGATCAGGACCGGGGTGCCGTACCAACGAACTTCCGATGCCATGTATGCACAGCTGCCTGTGGCCCAGCACCATGGCGTGCCCATCATCTCAGGTGTGTATGTCTGTGTGCATGTCTGTGTGTGTGTGCGTGTGTGGGGGAAGGGAGGGGGGAGAAAGGGCGGCAGGTGCACATACCAGCAGCTCTGGGGCGAGAGAAGGGTGAATAAATACCAACCAACTGACAAACCTTCCATTCATTCATTGCCGCTTCCCTTTGCCCATCGCTGTGCATGCTGTACGACATTGCAGTGATTGATGCCCTGGGCCCTTTCCCCACGACGGCTCTCCAAGCCTGGTTCAATGAGACCTGGTACCGAGGGGACAAGGTCCACCCGGAAGCATTTGGCCACATCCTCTTAGCTGACCTGGTACTTCACTACCTTCATTTGGCATACGAACACACTCGCCTTTTTCAGTGGTACCCGCTACCAAAAGAGTACATTCTCAGAGAGCCCCTCTTTGTCCCGCAAGAAAACCTGGATTTCTTCCTGGATGCCCGACCTATCACCATCGGCTTCGAACACTCGAGAATCTTGGACGCTCGCAGAGGCAGCCCGTGTCAAGGGTGGTGGGTGTATGCAGATGTGCCAGATAAAATGGGCTTGATATCGCAGACGCCTGGCTCGACCTGCGATATTTCGGTGTCGCCGGAAGAGGTCAGCCACCTGAGCGCCGGAAAGGCCTACCTAGTGCTCATGAAATCGTACGAAAACATGGGAGTGCTCGACTTGACGATTCACGCGGGAAGAGCTGCCGCTGCAAATGGGACTTGCGAGCGTTCCAGCAGTGGCGGTGCGCCTGTCGTCCTCGGGTCGATTAGTGTGGATTTGCTTTGGGCGTCAAAAGCGTCGCTGGCCGACGTGGTTGCCTTCCCCTTCAAACTCCCGACAGCGGATGGTTCGACGTGCCTTCTAGCAAGTTTCAGCGTAAAGGAAACGGACCGGTCGAAAAACAAGGTGAAGGTGCTGGGCCTTCAGTTGTTCTGAATAGCTAGCGAGCGACCTAGCTGTTATAAAGCCTCTTGGCAAGGGGGCCAAGCAGAGCGTGTACATGTATGTGTGTATGTACGTCCTTACACGAAGTGGTTTGTTTTCCAAGTATTCTGCCAAGGCTCAGTTTACATGCTATATAGCCCCATCGGGGCGATGATAGTCAACGATGCAGGAGGAGGAGGGGGGAGGGAGGAGGGAGGAAGGGGGGAGGAAGGAGGGGAAGGACTCACAGCGATAATGATGGAGCGCAACAAACTGCTCACAAACAAACAGCCGCAAAAGCGTCCCCTACTTGCCAGCACGGTAAGTACTGTGCTATGATGATCTCCAAATCGAAGTACAAAGTACACACACACACATACACACAGACGCATCCGTGTGGCAAACAGGAGCCACCAGGGCCCACCCGGCACCGAAACCATGTTCTGTCGTCGTATATTGCAGAGAACCTTGGGTTACCGCGCAAGGTGGCTGGAAGCATCGTAACAACTTTCCTGCCTTTTTGGATTTTGTGTGATGGGGACCTATAGTTAAGGGGTCGGTGTGTTGACCCCATGTGCCAGACCAGTGGTCCCCATCATCTAGTTATTTGAGGGGCCTGCTGGTGGCGGAGAGAGAGAGAACAAGATGGAGGATAGATAGATAGACAGACAGACAGACAGACATAGAGAGATAGAGAGAGGGGAGAGAACGAGAATAAATGTGTGTGCATTCATCTGGTCAAGTCCGGATTTGCGAGGCAGGCACGAACTGGGGGGTCTCTAATATATTATATAATGGTGGGTGGTGGATCAGGCGATTGCATAAAATGGCTAGAAATGGATATATGGAATATGTTGGGGTGCATATGTGTGCACTTGTGTGTGAGAATTCATTTGTGCGTGGGTAATGTATGTGCATATATGCATGCCGGTATGTATGTATGTATGTGGCTTTGGTGTGTAGATGTACGTGTATGTGAGTACATATGCACTGTTGGCCCGCTGGTGTGTCCCCGGAGAGCTACGTTGTGGCGGGGTGGTGCACACTCCCCTGGGAGCCTAGAAAGTAGAGAATGAATACGGTTAGCATGCTGTGTATGAAAAAATTACGTCGGACTGTAGGATGGCGTGACTTGCATTTCATCGGCTTGATGGGGCTCCCTGTTAAGCAATATGGAAAATTGCTGATTTTGTTTGAAAGGGTTGGAAGTAGAAGGAATCTGATGGCGACTTATGCCCTACATGAAAGGCAGCGTTGGCGATTTAAGGAAATCCGTTTGCTGCATATCAGCACATGCACGTGCACATGCACTTCTGAGTGTATGTGACGTGCTGGCTCTGGCACTGTTGATGTTGATAATGGTCAAGAGGTGTGGTGCCTGGTACTTGTAATGGCCCACGGTGATTTAATGCTGTACTATGGGATCCCTATATGTACGACTGCAATAAATTACATGATTTGGATCTAGATCTGGATCTCTCCATGCAGACAACCCGCATCAAGAAGGGCCAATTGAGGACGACAGTCCCAGTGGTGTTGTGTGGTCAAATTACGGGATAGACGCCCCACCACGAATTACGGCACCCATACACCCACACACCCAACCTATCTCTACCCCTCGCTGCCCGTAACCCACCTGCCCACCATGAGACAGGATGAAAGCACCAGCGATACACACATGCATACCCAGGTATACGCACACACGGCCCATATATGTCAATTATACGCTTACATACACAATTCAGGCACTACTGGTAACACACACACCGATGCTCTCGGAGGTTTCAGGATCAAGACCTGTCTCGGTCGAAAATCCTTCCGTATATGGAAGGTAAGAGTGCCCCTGACTGATGGCCGTTGTTCTCCTAGGATAAAGTGAACTGCGAGCTGACCAGGAGTGGAGTTAGAGTCACCGTAGATTCGGCAGATTCCGTTAGATGCCGGTGATGGGAGCTGAACCTGGACAGTCTACTGAGAAGTTGGCTAGGGTGACTGGATGAGGGTGCCCTGAAATACCGGGGAAGGCAAGTTTTTGCCGGGTAGCGGCCACGGGTGAAGATATGACCCCCCTGTCCCACACACTATACATATATATACATAATAGGCAGGCGGCTGGCAGAGGTTAAGGCCTGACTTCTGCTGCTGGAGTGTCTGGGTTTAAATCTGCCTGCCTATTTCTCGGGTGTTTGAGGAGAGTTGAAATGAGAGGTGACTCCCCATCTTATGGACGGTGTAGGACGTGATAATATCAACATGCGAGCTGACCAGGAACTAAGTTGATGCGCCGTTGATCCGCTAGATTTGGTTGGATGCTGGTGGTGAGTTGCTGAACCCAACGAATACATTCTGAAGTCGGATGGGGTGAACGGATTACAGTGCCCCTCTCGCAGGGGAGAGCAGGGAACTGCCTCAGGAAAGGGGGCCACTGATGAAGCTATACCACCCTGTAACAACATACATATGCACATGCGCATCGGATTCCCAAGGTAATTTTTCCCTCGAATGCCGACTTAAACACTATTCACAATATGCTATTAATTTCTATACTAATGTATGTAGGCCATGTATGCAGGCTTCATGGTTGTCTTTGTCACACAATGGTTGCTTAAGGCAATCAGGAAAGCAATTTCCTGTGCCGCCGCCCCTACTGGACTGTCGGTGCAGAGGTGATGACCCCCTTCTTCACCGCCCGAAGTAGCATCCACCTGCGTCCTGCCGCAAGCTGGGAAACCCCATAGCCCCGAAACCACTTCCCTATCTGCAATACTCTCCTCCGCATAATCACCATCCATCTCGTTCGCCATCGCGTTGCCCTTGCTCCGGGAAGTGTGCAAACCGCTGCCTCTGCCACCACCACGTGCAGCAGCAGTGGTACCATCATCATCATCATGATGTGCAGCAGCGGCGTCCTGCTGCAGCTGTAGCTGCTGTAGCTGTGCTTGTGCTTGAGCCAGCGATGCTTCCAGCTTCCAGATTCACCCCAGCAGCATTTAGAAGACCCCGAACGGTCTTAACTGACACACAAACTCCCACTCATCTTGGGACCCTCCACATGTGTCTATGTGCCTGCTTGTACGGCATGTATCCAATGTAAGACATGTATCCCTCGCCCCGACATGTCCAACACCCCGACACGACACAACATCCCTCTCACTCGCTGTCCACACTGTCCTGTGAGGTTTGTGGCCCTCCCTGGCGGTTGTGTTGGTGGTTGGGGTTGTTGGAATTTGGACGGGCTGGTGACGGTCTCTGTCGCTGTTGCTGCCGCCGCCACCCTCTGCGCCGGGGCCAGCGAGTGAACCACCACCACCACCACCACCACCTGGACATCACCGTGGTGCTGGTGCTGGTGGTGTTGGTGTTAGTGTTGGTGTTACAGGGTACTTACACTTGGCTGTATACTAACATTAAGTTCAAATACTCACACCTGGCTCAGAGAATCATCCAAGCGATAAGTAACTAGTTAAATACATTAATAGAAATTAAAAGTTCTCTAAAAAAATCGCATAAAGGATCTCTGTACGCGAAAAGCCGAAGGGCCCAGTGGAAACGCCTTGGACACTTAGTTGGTGTTGATGTTGTGGTCAGTGGTGGGGTCAGGGTGTACGCAACCGAGGTTTCTATAATCGAGGTGGCCGGGGCCAGCAGGACCACCGCAGGCGGCTACAACAGCCCCACATTTGGTCGATCCGTTCGACCAGGATTCGGAACCAATCGATGTAGGTCTTTTGGCGAGAGGCGTGCGATTCGACTTGGAGCCACGCCCAGCCATTTTTCGTATTCGATACCTGGTGGTAGTTCAGTTGGACCCCGAACTGGAGCAGCTTCCTCGGCCAACGAGCTTCATCACGGCCAGCTCCCAGGCGGGGAACGTTCGATTATTTCTACTTGAGTACGGGGACTTGTGCTCT